CCATAATTTTACGTTCCGTAAGTTTTGTCTTATTTCCGATGTAAAAAGAGACCGTAAGAAAAATATATAATCGTCGTAAAAAATATTTTATGTTATGTAAAATTACAAACGTAAAAACATAGTGTAAAATATACATAAACTGCAAATTTTCTTGTCTTATGACCTATATATTTATTTTCTTATGCCAAATTTTACGTAGTGAATCAATTGGAATGTAACTATTTGAATTCCAAACGTAATTTAATTATGAAGTGATTGTAAGATTACCTCGGTGAAGAATAACTTATTCTGCACCCTGGGTGATGAATAGTATGAGTTGAAATGATTGCTATTTTTGCCGAGGGCACATAAACGATTAAACTGCGTATTTATTGTTTATTTTTGCTAAGTGATTTAGTGTTACTTGCAGGTCATCATTGGACCTGCAACAGTTGGAGGAGTTCAAGCTGGTGCTTTCAAGATTGGTGATACTGCTGGAACCATTGATAACATAATTCAATGCAAGCTGTACAGGCCTGGATCAGTTGGTTTTGTGTCTAAATCGGTATGCTTCAATTTCGTTGTTAATAAGCTTGCTTCATCGCATGTATTTCTGCATGATTCACGTCCATCACTTAAGTAGCAAAATAAAAAGAACTGTCTAGTGTGTCTGTAATGACGACTTTTTGTTTACATATGGTGCTTCGTCTTTATCTTCTTTTCTTGCAAAAAAGTGGAGAGCACCTGGCTTTCCATTTGTTTCTCTTTCCAGAACTCCACTTCTTTTATTTGATGACTAATTAGTATATATTCTCAAATGTATATTTTGAATACTATTTACAAACTAAATTTACAAACTAAACTTCCATTATTTCAATAGGGTGGCATGTCAAATGAGCTGTACAACACGATTGCAAGAGTGACTGATGGTATTTATGAAGGTACCTTGTTTGTGAATAAATGTCAATGTCACACATACTGATTCACATGAATAATGCTTCCATGCTAACAGTTTCTTAACATATTCAGGAATTGCAATTGGTGGGGATGTTTTCCCTGGCTCAACTCTTTCAGATCACATTCTGCGTTTTAACAACATACCCCAGGTTTGACACTTAACATCTCTATATAGAAGTTGATACTGTTAACCTTCTTCCTGTGCTATATGAATATTCATCGTCTTTGTAGCCTAAGTGTCCTGTGAATATTGTATTTTTCTTCTCTGACATGATTGGACATCCACAGGATGTCACTGTAACATGTTCCTTTGTTACATCCTTTTTATCTTCAACTTTTGGAGGCAACTCCTTTACACTAATTTTGGCCTATCTCTATTATCTTTCCATCTACTCCAAATTACATTTTTAGGACAAAAAGGTTGTTTGGCGCACAAGTATGCTTTCAGGATAATGCCATCCTTGAATTACTTGTAACCCAAGTCTGGATTCTGAGCAATGGTGTATCAACATTTTTCATTTGTTGGCTTCAGGTTAAAATGATGGTTGTTCTTGGGGAGCTTGGAGGAAGTGATGAGTATTCACTCGTCGAAGCCTTGAAACAAGGAAAGGTTCAGAAACCTGTTGTTGCTTGGGTTAGTGGGACATGTGCACGCCTATTCAAATCTGAGGTCCAGTTTGGCCATGCTGTAAGTTGTAAACAAGTTGGTGTTCTTTTCTTCGAGTTCCAGTTAGCTGAACAATACACTCAGTATGCATGGATCTTGTTTATTAATTTTTTGGTATAACAGGGTGCGAAGAGCGGTGGTGAGTTGGAATCCGCACAAGCTAAGAATCAGGCACTAAGGGATGCTGGGGCAGTTGTCCCGACTTCATTTGAAGCTCTTGAAAGTGTGATTAAGGAGACATTTGAGAAGCTGGTACATCACAGCTGATGTCTTTTGCAAGTATAATTTTTGTGGGAATATGTTACTGGGGATCAAAGCTTGGGGTTACATATACTTTTTGCAGGTTGAGGAAGGAAATATTCCTCCTGTCCCTGAGGTTACACCTCCCCCCATTCCTGAGGATCTTAAAACTGCCATTAAAAGTGGGAAGGTCCGAGCTCCCACACACATTATCTCCACTATCTCTGATGATAGAGGTTAGATTGATGGCAACATTTTATCTTGATAATTGTCCTTTGCCCTGCTATCCCACTCTGAAAATAATAAATGCGATGTGTATGATGCAGGTGAGGAACCTTGCTATGCTGGTGTGCCCATGTCTACAATTATTGAAAGGGGTTATGGAGTTGGTGATGTTATTTCTCTTTTGTGGTTCAAGCGCAGCCTTCCTCGTTATTGTACTCAATTTATTGAGGTAATTTATGGGCTAAATGTGACATGTATAATCTATCTTCCCTACAAAAACTCTAATATGCTATGATTATTTTGTACCTTCCCCCCTTCTACATCTAAAGTTCATTTGGTCCTAATAAGGTTTCTTGATATGTCTGACAGATATGCATCATGCTTTGCGCTGATCATGGTCCTTGTGTATCCGGTGCTCACAATTCTATAGTTACTGCTAGGGCTGGCAAGGACCTTGTTTCCAGCTTGGTATCTGGTGAGCTTGTTTACTTGGTACATGCAAACCTGTACCATTATGTACTCAACAGCATACTGAGACTTACTGTTGAAATAACACAGGATTATTGACAATTGGCCCCCGATTTGGTGGTGCAATTGATGATGCCGCTCGGTACTTCAAAGATGCATATGATAGGGTGAGCCATCTTATTTCCTGTCCCTATATTTTTTTCCCAACTCCAGTTTTTAATGTGTTTCTTAATTGATCTGATAAGCTACATCAATTGATTCTAGGGTCTTACGCCTTATGAATTTGTTGAGGGCATGAAAAAGAAGGGAATCCGTGTCCCTGGGATTGGTCACAGGTATAATACACCCTTGGCATCATAATAAGCTTGCACCTGAAAAGGGATTTCAGGACATAAGTTTGTTGGTTCTGAATTTCACCCGAAAAGGGATTTCAAGACATAAGTTTGTTGTTTCTAAATTTCACTTGCATACGTTTATTAGGATCAAAAGCAGAGACAACAGGGACAAGAGAGTGCAGCTTTTACAGAAATATGCTCACACACACTTCCCTTCAGTCAAGTACATGGAGTACGCTGTTCAGGTTGAGACCTACACCCTGTCAAAGGCCAACAATTTGGTTATGAACGTTGACGGTGCGATTGGCTCGCTTTTCTTGGATCTTCTTTCTGGGAGTGGAATGTTCAGCAAGCAAGAGATCGATGAGATTGTAGAGATTGGGTATCTTAATGGACTCTTTGTGCTTGCACGTTCAGTTGGCCTAATTGGGTAAGTCTTTATAATGATAAATGTGACCAACTACTGTACATTATTGTTACTCTAGTTACATTCTTAATAATATTTCCATCTGCTTCTTGGATCAACAGCCACACCTTTGATCAGAAGAGGCTCAAGCAACCACTCTACCGTCACCCTTGGGAGGATGTCCTCTACACCAAGTGAGGCCGACTCAGCATGGCATCATATGGATCTTCCAGTTGTGTGTACACCATAAAATCAAGCATAATTGCATAGAATTCGAAGTTCTGATTGTCAACTAGGCGAGGAGGGAGAGAGGACCGTTACAGATGAGCACTGGCTGTGTGTCTTGTGGGACTGTTTTTTTTATAAGCTCCAAAGTAAGTCTTTTTTTTTTGTTCAAGCATGAAAGCTTTAGGGCATCAGATATTTGAGAGGATACTTGATAATTGTTTCATGTTATCATCAATTAAGTGACCGCCAAATTTGGGGAGTGTTGTAATGTTTGTGATGCTAGTTCCCCATCACAAAAAATCCGAATTCTGTAATGTCAAATTATGTGGTACGAGTAATAAAATAGAATATGCACGTCTTGCTTGCTTCGAGCTCTAGCCGATTGATCCCAAATTTATTGCCATGTAATGGTATCCGTCTAAATGCTGATGCACATCACCAGCCACTGCCCTACCAAGCTGCATACAGAGTAGTTTTTGGATGTTACTTGAGAGTTGCATGATAGTGAGTTTAATACTATTGAGGGTTTAGTTAACCTAGGTTGAAGATATAGCATGATGACATGATGCAAGAAGAAAATAACCTAATTAGGGTACTACCCTTGGCTGTTACTCCCTCCATTCCTAAATTCAACTAGCAAACTGTCGTATATTTAGGAACAGCGGGAGTACAATCGACCCCACTCAACAGGGTTCTATTCCTAATATCGAAGGCGAAGTAAGAGGGGAAGAGTTGGGACACAATTGTAATGATTCTTTTTGTTCTATCTTTCTCTTCTTGACCCAACTCAACAGGAATCCATTGCATCATAACAAGCTTGATACCCTTCATTCGAGATCATTGTCTTTCAGCACTAGAAGCCAAAAAGAAAGAAAGGAAGATGGAACATGCATAGATGCAACATGCTTCACTAGGTTAACTGCCGAGTAAACGTCGTGTCTATGAGGGATCCTAAGGTTTGAATGACCAAAGCAACGGGAGGGAGATAGAGATCAATATAAATTGAGATAAGGAATACACAAAAGTCCTACTTAGATCTATGCAACACATGTTTAGTCAGAATAGTTTGGACATGCTAGACTCAACAACGACCGATAGCGAGGTTATCCCGCAGTCCTCTCTTTTCTCCTCGTCACAACCTTTACCAAAAAAATATAGATGACTTCTAAGTTCACCCATTGACCCGAAGCCTCTACATAAGCTTGAAGGATATTACGCAGCTTGGTAAAGTTATCCAATGAAGCCTCCAAAAACACAATACAGTAATCCGCAAATAAGTATGGGTGACTGGGGCCAGTACTCCCAAAAGACACCACCTAGATCTCTCTGTCGTGTTGGATTTGCTTGATGAGAGTAGAAAATCCCTCCACACAAAAGAGGAAAAGGTAAGGGATAGAGGATCTCCTGCTTAAGTCTCCTCATGGGAACGAAACCTTGAGATAAATGCTCGTAACGCTTGACCGCAAATCCAGCCAACCTAACGCATCTAATGACCATGGTTATCCATGTCTGAGAGAAACCAAAACGAGTCATCATGTTTGGCAGGAAGATCCACTCTACTTGGTCATATGTCTTCATCATGTCAGCTTAACAACACATAAGGGCTTCTTCCTTTTCCTCTTCCTAATAGCATTTACACATTTATATGCCACCATAACATTGTCTGTTATCAATCTCTTTGGGACAAGAGCATTACTTAGAAATCAGAATGGCATGGGTTGAAGAAATGCACTGAAGGAAATATGCCCTAGAGGCAATAATAAAGTTGTAATTTTATAATTCCTTATATCATGATAAATGTTTATTATTCATGCTAGAATTGTATTAACCAGAAACTTGATACATATGTGGATACATAGACAAAACACCATGTCCCTAGTAAGCCTCTACTAGACTAGCTCGTTAATCAAAGATGGTTAAGTTTCCTAACCATAGACATGTGTTGTCATTTGCTGAACGGGATCACATCATTAGGAGAATGATGTGATGGACAAGACCCATTCGTTAGCTTAGCATAATGATCGTTCAGTTTTATTGCTATTGCTTTCTTCATGTCAAATACATATTCCTTCGACTATGAGATTATGCAACTCCCGGATATCGGAGGAATGCCTTGAGTGCTATCAAACGTCACAACGTAACTGGGTGATTATAAAGATGCTCTACAGGTATCTTCGAAGGTGTTTGTTGGGTTGGCATAGATCAAGATTAGGATTTGCCACTCCGAGTATCGGAGATGTATCTTTGGGCCCTCTCGGTAATACACATCATAAGAAGCCTTGCAAGCAAAGTGACTAATGAGTTAGTTGCGGGATGATGTATTATGGAACGAGTAAAGAGACTTGCCGGTAACGCTATTGAACTAGGTATGAAGATATCGACGATCGAATCTCGGGCAAGTAACATACCGATGACAAAGGGAATAACGCATGTTGTCATAACAGTTCGACCGATAAAGATCTTCGTAGAATATGTGGGAGCCAATATGAGCATCCAGGTTCCGCTATTGGTTATTGACCGGAGAGGTGTCTCGGTCATGTCTACATAGTTCTCGAACCCGTAGGGTCCGCACGCTTAACGTTCAATGACGATTTTGTATTATATGAGTTATGTGATTTGGTGACCGAATGTTGTTCGGAGTCCCGGATGAGATCACGGACATGACGAGGAGTCTCGAAATGGTCGAGAGGTAAAGATTGATATATAGGACGATAGTATTCGGACACTAGAAGTGTTCCGGAGGGTACCGGGTACATATCGGGTCACCGAAGGCGTTCCGGGCACTCCTCGGCAAAGATATGGGCCTAATGCGCCAAGAGGTGAAACACAGTAGCCAGCAGGGGCTGCTGTGCCCCCTATATGAGGCGAACCAGAGGAGGAAGTAAAGAGGGGAAGATAGAAGGAAGGGGAGGGATGTGGCCTCCCCCTTCCTTCCCTCCTCTGCCCTCCTTCCTCCCCCCTCCGAGAAATATGGTAAGGGGGGGGGGGGGCGAATTGGACTAGGCCCCCAAGTAGGATTCCTCCTACTTGGGGCGCCTCTAGGCTGTTTCCCTCCCCCTCCCACCTATATATACATGGGGAGGGGGCGCCTAGAACACACATCAACTATTGTTAGCCGTGTGCGGCGCCCCCCTCCATAGTTTACGCCTCCGGTCATATTCTTGTAGTGTTTAGGCAAAGCCGTGCGTGGATCACTTCACCATCACCATCACCATGTCGTCGTGCTGAAGGAATTCATCTACTTCATTGACACTTTGCTGGATCAAGAGTTCGAGGGACGTCATCGAGCTGAACATGTGCAGAACTCGAAGGTGCCATTAGTTTTGTGCTTGATCGGTCAGAACAAGAAGAAGTTTGACTACATCAACCGCGTTATCACACGCTTCCGCTTTCGGTCTACGATGGTATGCAGACACACTCCCCCCTCTCGTTGCTATGCATCCCTAGATAGATCTTGTGTGAGCGTAGGAATTTTTTTGAAATTGTATGCTACGTTCCCCAACAGTGGCATCAGAGCCAGATCTATGCGTAGATGATATGCACGAGTAGAACACAAAGAGTTGTGGGCGGTGATCGTCATACTGCTTACCACCAATGTTTTATTTTGATTCGGCGGTATTGTTGGATGAAGCAGCCCGGACCAACCTTACCTGACCACGTTCATGAGACCGGTTCCACCGACAGACATGCAACTAGTTTTGCATAAAGTTGGCTGGCGGGTGTATGTTTCTCCTACTTTAGTTGAATTGAATTTGACTGCAGACGGTCCTTGTTGAAGGTTAAAACAACAAATTTGATAAATCACCATTGTGGTTTTGTGCCGTAGGTAAGAACGGTTCTTTCTAGAAGCCCGTAGCAGCCACGTAAAACTTGCAACAACAAAGTAGAGGACGTCTAACTTGTTTTTGCAGGGCATGTTGTGATGTGATATGGTCAAGACATGATGTGATATATGTTGTTGTATGAGATGATCATGTTTTGTAAAAGTTATCGGCAACTGGGAGGAGCCTTATGGTTGTCGCTTTATTGTATGAAATACAAACGCCATGTAATTGCTTTATTTTATCAGTAAACGGTAGCGATAGTTGTAGAAGCAATAGTTGGCGAGATGACCACGACGCTACAATGGAGATCAAGGTGTCGAGCCGGTGACGATCGAGATCATAATGATGCTTTGGAGATGGAGATCAAAAGCACAAGATGATGATGGCCATATCATGTCACATTTTTTGATTGCATGTGATGTTTATCTTTATGCATCTTATTTTGCTTAGTACGTCGGTAGCATTATAAGATGATCCCTTAACTAAATTTCAAGGTATAAGTGTTCTCCCTGAGTATGCACCGTTGCGACAGTTCTTCATGCTGAGACACCACGTGATGATCAGGTGTGATAGGCTCTACGTTCACATACAACGGGTGAAAGACAGTTTTGCTCATGCGGAATACTCGGGTTAAACTTGACGAGCCTAGCATGTACAGACATGGCCTCGGAACACTAGAGACCGAAAGGTCAAACGTGAATCATATAGTAGATACGATCAACATAGAGATGTTCACCATTGATGACTACTCCATCTCATGTGATGATCGGACATGGTTTAGTTGATTTGGATCACGTATCATTTAGATGACTTGAGGGATGTCTATCTAAGTGGGAGTTCCTAAGTAATTTGATTAATTGAACTTAATTTTGTTGGGGAACGTTGCAGAAAACAAAAATTTTCCTACTCGTTTCACCAAGATCATCTAGGAGTTCATCTAGCAACGAGTGATTAGATGCATCTACATACCTTTGTAGATCGCGCACGGAAGCGTTCAAAATAACGGTGATGATGTAGTCGTACTCGACGTGATCCAAATCACCGATGACCAGCGCCGAACGGACGGCACCTCCGCGTTCAACACACGTACGGAACAACCACGTCTCCTCCTTCTTGATCCAGCAAGGGAGGGAGGAGAGGTTGAGG